GGTGTCATATGTCGCGTGTTCGCTCACCGCTCCCCGCTCGCCCCCGTCTCTCATCGATCGATGCGTGACTCCACCTCTCGCTATCGGATCTTGAGAGATGTCAACAAATACACCATTTTGCATGTCTGCCGAGTCCGGGCCTTCCGCTCCTCCGTGCACTTATTGGCTCAGACGTTTTTCTTAATTACGCGATAATAATTACGGATTTTGTAAAATGGTATATAACTTTTCTTCTCAGTTTGACCCAATCTACTATAATCTTTGGAGTCGTCCAAATCGAATCCGACACCCTGTATAAATCACCTAAGTAGGTGTAAATTATCCTTAAAAGTGTCAAAATAGTACCAAAATTTCGACTCCGGTGTATTCAGAATTCTTTGTCTGTGTCACAATTATTGAGAATTGCTTTCGCGCGATAGGGATGTGCAAATTAATTATAATAATTATAATTAATACGTAAATGACTCTGCACTTGTATAATACGAGTGCGCCGGACTATTCAAGACAGTAAACCTAAGACAGTAAAAGAGGTTGAACTGCAAGTACAAAATTTATTCCTACTTTAAAACTGCAATCGGAAATTTCCACTTTTGCCAATTTAGTTTTAAGTAGGAGCTAAAGTAAATTTTGAGAATTAAAGATTCAAGGGAGGAGTAAATAAACATGTCTTCAAAGTAGATTATTGCTGGTCTATGTATAGGTGTTTAGATCAGCTACGTAGGTGTAAATGATCCTTAAAAGTATCACAATAGTATAAAAATCTCGACTCGGGATATGGTAAATTTTCAAAAGACTCTCGTAAAGCTGTTGAAAATGCCCTCGACTACGTGATTTTCAGGGTAAATTTTAAAATTCTCTCCGTGCATACATTTCGAAAAATTCCGAAATATTGTCTTACTTTCAAAGTAGGAAGGTTTCCTTAATATTTTTGTATCAAGGAGCGAAACGTGCACTTTCACGGCGCATTTCGTCAAACCAGTCTTCGACACTGGCCGCTTCCTCCCTCTCGCTCACGTTATCCGCGATCGCGGCGTTTCGCGAATTTACGACGTGCGCCTCGCGGGCTTTAGCGGCGCGCAGAAACGCGTAACGGGGAAAAGAAACAGCCCCCGGACGCCTAAGTGGAAAGTATTACTTGTATCTCTTTTTTCAACGCGTCCGTCGTGAATCATCCGCTCCTCCTCCTCCTCCTTCCTTCGTTCGCGTACGTTCGTGCTCGAGTCGCGTGTAAATAGATGTGAGCCGCGCGGTTACGTTTGCCAGAAATAATAATGGAAGAAAAAAGTGCGGCGAGAAACGCGAAATACGGTCTACCGGCGATTTTAGACGCCGCAATTACGCGGCCGGTGTGTCGACACCGCGCCGCGCGTCTTCTTTTCGCGAGACGCGAGAAATTTTCCTGGCACGAGATTATGGCCCGTCGTTATAGATACCCTTTACATTTGAATAAGCTTCCTTCGCGCGCGCGCACGCCGTGAAAAGTCTCGCTGCAACACCGAATTTCATATTCCGGCTGTATGTCGGCGGTGCGCGGATGAAGCGTTGTCACGTTTCGAGCCTTTCGCGCAACACGTCACGGTTTTCACTTTGCTCGGGCTTTAAAGCTCTTGTGCGCGAGCATTGTTTGCGCGATATACCTACACGGCAACGGGACGGAGAGGTAAGCCAATGTCAAAAGGACATGTGCGAGATAAGAGAAACGAGCGAAACGTGTGTAAGCTCGAGAAACTGAGATAGATATAGGGGGTTTGGACGTTAAAGTATATTAAAATGTCAGCTTATCTTAAAGTAAAACGCTCCGGGGGAAATTACAGACCGGGGAGAAACGCCGTATATATTATTCGTACGGATTTCTCACACCGTCGTATTTTTGTACTCGCTCAAGACTGTCAGAATTTGCTTCATTACCGATATTCTCATTCTAGAAAGCTCGTCGTGACTGTCATCCAATTTTCGCAATGGTATCAAGGACTTATATATGTATACATTTACAAGATATTTGATATAACGCTTATCATTGCGTAAATATTTAATGCGACGTATGATAATATTGTGTTCGTCTTATCCTATTTTTATACTCGAAGATGTAAAAACTTGCTTTATTACGGATACTTTCGAAAGCTCGTCGCGGCTTTAATCCAATTTTCGAAACGGTAAAAGCGATTTTTACACGTAACAGACATTTGATACAACGCTCATCATTTCGTTGTATTAAATATTTATTTAGTACAACGTGTGATGATATTTGCCTTATCGTATTTTTATACTCGAAGCTAGAAATTTGCTTCATTAGAGATATTTGACTCTAGAAAGCTCGTCGCGGCTTTAATCCAATTTTTGAAACAGTATAAACGATTTATACATTTAAAAAATACTTGATATAAGGATTATCATTTCGTAAACATTTAATACAACGTATGATAATATTTGTCTTGTCATATTTTTATACCCGAAATTAGAAATTTGCTTCATTAGAGATATTTGACTCTAGAAAGTCGCGGCTTTAATCCAATTTTTGAAACGGTATAAAGATTTATATATTTAAAAGATATTTGATATAACGCTTATCATTTCGTAAACATTTAATACAACGTATGATAATATTTGCGTTATCGTATTTTTATACTCAAACCTGGAAATTTGCATCAATAGAGATATTTGCCTCTAGAAAGCTCGTCGCGGCTTTAATCCAATTTTTGAAACGGTATAAACGATTTATACATTTAAAAGATACTTGATATAACGCTTATCATTTCGTAAATATTTAATGCCACGTATGATAATATTGTATTCGTCTTATCGTATTTTTACACCCGAAGCTGCAGAAACTTGCTTCGTTACGGACGTTTAACTCTAGAAAGCTCGTTTTTTTTAATCCAATTTCCGAAACGGCACAAACGACTTACGCACCCAAAAGATATTCGATGTAACGCTTATCGATTCGCAAGTATTCATTCAATACAACGCGATAATATTGGCGTTTCTCTTATCTCGGGACTTACGGCCAGCGCTTTAGCGTCGGGCGAGTCAACCGCGAGTCGATCGACGTTGCTCGCGCGCGGGATTCCGGGTACGAGACCGAGCACGAGGCAAACGGTTTCGAGCGCTACCCTCGCGCGTACGTACCATTCCTCTCGTTGGACCCGTCCGGGTCGCGTACGCGCGCCACGCATACACGCCAAGCCGTCCGAATCGTGTCCGCGGGGCTGCGTACGGCCGGCCGGCCGGCCGGCCGGGTTCGAAAAGTAAAACATGCACACGCACAGCGGGGCGCGCGAGCGCGAGCGAGACGCGGCGAGGAAACGAGCGAGACAGAGGCGACGAGGTACCGGCGGCGGCGGCGGCGGTCGCGCGCGCGCGGGAAAGAGAGAGAGAGAGAGAGAGAGAGAGAGAGGAGGGAGGGAGAGGAGGCGCGCGAGCGAGACGGCGGACGGTAGATCGCGGCGCGCCGCGGTGCGGCGGTGTGCGGCGCGCCCGGCGCGCGAGACGGTGGTACGCGACAACGGCGCTCATCGATTGGCGCGCTAGCCGTGACCCCCACCATGTTGCTTTCGCTTTCATCCAATGGGGCCTCACTTTCGCGCTCGCCCGCGTTCGGCGTCGCGGCAGCCGGCACGCTGTCGTCGCCGGCTTCTCTCAGTGACTGGTGCACCCTACGTGCGAGCGAGCGTTTTTCGTGCGTCCGTGGGCTCGGCCGTAAACGTCTACGGGAGAGGCAGAAAGAGAGAGAGAGAGAGAGAGAGAGAGAAGACGAATAAAGGGTGGACGAGGAGGTGGCGAAGGAGGTGAGGGGAAGAGGAGCGGGAATACGGCGGGCCTCGGTGTCGATGCGTGAACGTTGTTAACATTGTGCGGACTGTACGACGCGCTCTCGCGTACCGTTGAAGTGTGTCGATTTAAATCCGTCGCGGTGAAACGCGAGGTGACGCGCGCGCTCGGGAATTGCGTTGCACGCCGGCGCCGGTGTTGACCCTGACATTCGAGAAGCCGGGCGGCCGAGGCGAGGCGAGGCACGGCACTCGTCGTCTCGCGCGCGCAGGAGCGACATCGCCGGCGCGCTCTCGTGCGTCCCGGACGGCCGGTGGCGGTGTGTGGGCGGTGTGTGTGGCGGTGAACGTAGCGACGAACGGAGAGTGGACCCGGAAGGACCAAGAGAGAAGCGGTCGTCGCGTAACTCCGTAGCAGTGCGCCCTCGGGGGCGGGGGAGGGAGGGGGAATCCGCGGTGTGTCGTGCGTCGTGTGCCGCGTCGCGGCGCCCGCTGACCTTGACTCCGATGCGCCAGGGGGTCCGTTGCGAGGCGCGACGACGAATGACCTTGACTCCCCGGCTCGGCTGCGCCCCGACATCACACGCCTCCGTCGCGCGGGGTGCGCGTCGGCCGGAGATGAGCGAGTAGGGAGGCGGGAAGAGGATCTCTCTCTCTCCGTGGGCGTCCACAAGCGTGAGAGGCGAGGAGGAGTGCGTTGATCCACGTCGCGGAGGATTAGCGGAAGAGAAGAGCCGACCTTGACGCGAGTCCAAGGCGTCTATATGGCACCGCGGCGTCACGCCAACGGCGGCCACGGCGGTGGCGGCGGTGGCGGCGCTGGCGCTGGCGCTGGCGGCCTCCTGGAGAACGGGGGCGGCGTCGGCGGCGGTGGCGTCGGCGGCATCGGCGGCGGCGGCGGGGGTGGCGGCGGCGGCAACGGCGGCAACGGCGTCGGCACCAACGATCCCATGGACAACCTCCTGGGCCAGAGCCAGACGACGCGCTGCTGCACCCCGACCGGCGAGTGCCTGCGCGGCGACACCCTCATCCGGCTCAACGCCCTGCACGACGCGGTCAAGGTCACCTGCAACAACGACAACTGCCCGGTCGGCCAGTTCATGCATCGCGAGTGCTTCGACGCCTGGGAGCAGACGGTGCTGACGTACCTCAAGAGCTGCGGCCGCGCCCGCAGCTGGTCCGAGCGCCAGCGTCACCAGAACCTCTGGACGAAGAAGGGCTACGATCTCGCGTTCAAGGCGTGCGGCTGCCGCTGCGGCCGCGGCCACCTCAAGAAGGACCTCGACTGGATGCCGCCCGGCCTCGGCAACGTGCCCGGCAACCGCGCCGACGAGAGCGAGGCGAAGAAGAAGAAGCGGCGCAACCGGCAGAACACCCGGCCGAGCCTGGCGGTCTCGGCCGGCCCGCCCAGCCACGCCGGCCACGTCGCCGCCAACGGCCGCGGCACCAGCGAGGCGCAGATGATCGAGTCCGGCCGCGGCCGGGCCGGCTCCCTGTCGTCCAGCACCGGCTCCAGCTCGCCGCCGGCCACCAGCGAGCCCAGCGTCAGCCCGCTTCACCAGCCGCAGGCCATCATGAAGAAGAAGAGCAAGGTCGATTTCTTCAGCGATCGCGCGAGGTGAGTGGCTCTGTTCCGGTCTTTCCGAGCCCGACCACGTCGAGATTGAACGCGTCCCCTACAAGTGGCTCGACAATTTCTTTTTGCGCCAAAAGACTAAGAAAAATGCACCCTATCGCTCGCGAGCTCGTAGTCCGCCGTTCTAATTGGTTCTCGCGATCGATCGTGGCATTTCGAGCGAGAGCTTTTAACCGTCCCCCGATCAAGCGCTCTGCAAGGCAATAGCGCCGAGCGTCCTGTTGTAGAGCGAAAACCCGCCGAATCCTCGCTAACAATGACAGACGAGCGGCGTCGTCGTGCGCGGGCTGCGTCTACCGCGGAAGACGACACCTTAAAGCGGACGCGTGAGAACGAGAGCCGCGGGTAGACGCCAGCGAAGCCGTTTCCGTCGCGATTTCGGCGAAAATGCAAAAAAAAAGGCGCGAGACCGCGCGCGGAAAAGAAAAGACTCGCGATATTAATGCCAGTGACGTAAAAACTGGGCGTGGCTGAGAGAGAGAGAGAGAGAGGACAGAGGTATTTCCTCCTATGCATATTGAGCTGCCTTCCTCTTCTTTTTTTATGCAAAGCGAGCACGTTGCCCTCGGGCTCCCGCGTAAATCACGAAATTCAGAAGATCCACAATTATTTTCCGTCTTTAAATCCGCGCGTATATCGTCGAGAGCGCGCGCGCGCGCAGCGGCGAAATTGGTTTCGGCTTGCTACTTGGCTCCCTCTTACGTAACCGCGTCCCACCGAATCGCAGTTAATCCAGGCGTTTCTTTTACGAGTTTGTCGCTCGCCGCGTTTTACGGTCTCCAAATATTTAGGTAAAACCGTGCCGCGCGCGATTTCTGTCGCGGCAGATGGTGTCCAAATGACGGCGGGGATTCTCGGAAGACACGCTTGCCTCCCGAGGACCCGGGGACGAGGCGGAAGCTTTAACGAGATGAAAAAAAGGGAGGGGGTGGGTCAAAGAGCGTCCCGCCGAAACCGTTGACGCGTTCGTCGGGGTATCTCGCGAAATCGCGGTGACGGTTCGCCTTAGGCTCGACCCACAGTGCGCTCTTTGCGTTCTACTCCGCAGCCAGTGAATGCGTTGAGAAAATTTGTGCGAGTTTTTAAATGAACTTGCTCGACCAATGTCAAGCGCGTTGATTTGCGCGTGCGAAATAAAACGTTTCTGATCGCGTAGGGCACAGCGTAGATTAGGTTTTAGGCCTACAACGTGCTCCTCGCGTCTAGAAACGTTCTGTTTCGTAGGCAATAAAAACGTTTAAAAAATTTGTGCAAGACGCAAAATTGTATATTGCCGACAAGTTTTTTAAGTATTTCGATTTGTATAAAATAAATTGTTTCTAGATGCAGAAAACACAATTGTAGATTAACCTTTAAGGCTAATCTACAATGTGTTCGTTGAATCTATAAATATTCTACTTTGTAGGCAATAAAGATGTTTAAAAAATTTGTGCAAGAGACAAAATCGTACAAGGCTAATCTACAATGTGTTCTTTGCGCCTAGAAATATTCTACTTTGTAGCCGAGGAATACGTTTAAAAAATTTGCGCAAGTGGATAAATTGTATATTTTACATCGTACAATCGTAAATTGTCGACAAATGTTTTAATCGTTTCGATTTGCGTACTCTCTAAAAGTCCATCGGTGGATTATCACTGAAAACAGTGAATAGTCGCTGATTTGCAGTTATAAATACACCACTGTGATTTTCAGTGGCATACTCATAACTGCGAATCAGTGGCTATTCACTGTTTTCACACAGAAAAAGAGAATATTCTTCCCTTGAAAATATGTTGTCTCAACGTGAAAATCTTGAAATGAGATTACGTTGCGTCGAAGGAAGAAAAACTTACTTGAATGATGCAATTTTATATAATTCAATCAAGCAAAATACATGCTTATCGTTCAAGAATAATTTTCTTGAATGGAGAGGAAACAATACCGGATAGAAACTAGCATATTTTCAAGCCGAAGATTATAATTAACTTAAATGATTACATGCTTTCTCGAAGTGACGATTATAGTATTTAAATAAGACTAATATATTGTTGGAATGTAAGATTATTAAATGCTAAGAAGATTACAGATAGTTGCGTATATACAAGACAACGAACGCGTCAATTCGAGTACGTAAAGGTTGATCTGACTTTTTTTTCTGCGCAGTTCATTGATAGACTTTTAGGGAGTATATAAAATAGGACGTTTCTAGACGCAAAGGGCACATTGTAGATTAGGGTTTACTCTCGTGGAGATATATCGATTTCGATTGGCCGCTTCGGGAAATCCGACACCGGGGATTTTTCGGGAGCGGCAGAGGGGGAGAAAACGACGGCGAACTTTGCAAATTCGATAGCGGCCCACTGGTTAATTCGCTCTACTGACTTTTAATAATTAATCGTTGCCCGCTGGTCTCGCGAAGGAGCCGTGGAACCGGTTCACGCGCTCACTGAGGTTCGGGAATACGCGCGCGAATCGCGGAGAACGGATCTTGTTACAGGCAGGAAGTTTAAGGAGAAAAATCAGAGTTTAAGGAACGTTTCAAGGCCAGTCGGAACTTTGCTTCTTCGGAAAAGAGCCTTGTGTTACACTGTGATATGATTCTGGCGCGCTAAAACCGTAAATTCGGCGAGCTTAAACGAAAAACTTTTGAAACGTCGAGGCCGCGTCGTAAACTCGGTAAAGAGTTCAGTCGACTTGCCTTTGTTAACATTTTATGACGTTCCACGTTGCGTACCGCGATTATCGACAGTTCCTTTGTCTAGTTCGCGATAGCGGGCTTCGTATCGAGAGAGAGCCGCGCCGCCAATTTCCGTGTCGATCCGCGACACCGACGTTCGCGGCGATTTTGAACGCAGATTGTATTTCGACTGCCTCTGACGTCACGAGACGCAACGCGGTAAAAATTGTATTTGCCTCCCCCTTTCTCCTCGCCGACGCGACGCCGGCGATTTATGTTTCGGCGGGCGCGCGTTTCGCGCGCCGGGGAAATAAAAGAGCGGCTTCGGGAGGGGCAAAGAGAGCGGAGAGGAAACGGAGGCGAGTCGTTGTTCGCGTCCGCTTGTCGTAAAGCGACTCTCCGGACGCGCGATCGAGAGGGCATGAATGAACGCCGCTGGTCTGTTTTCTCGTCGCGCGTAGGTCGCACTCTATAGAGCGGCGTCGGGGCCGCGCGGTGTGTCGCGCGTACGTGTGTGCGTCGCCTGCGTGTGCGCGCGTATTAGGTTGCTCTAGACCTCAGACGAGAGGCGGGAGGACGAAGGGCGGCGAGGGAGAAAGAGAGAGAGAGCGCGCGCGCTACGAGGATTACGACAGCGCTTCGACCCATAGTACGCGCGCGACCCTCGCGCGTACGCTTGTGTGCATCCTATATATAAATGCAGCCTTGGAAACCTGTCCTATTTCTGTTTATGTACCTCCAGTTCGACGGGTCGGGAACCCTCCTGGGCCCTGGCTTCGGCTCGCGTTGTACGACGCCGAATTTTTCCAGACTTCTGACCTACGTTGTCTATTCGCTCGATTGAGAGGTTCGCTCGCGATGAACTCGCGATTTATCTTCGCCGTGGCGTCGTTCGCAGATAACAGAGCGCGATAAATAATGCAGGATGTACTTGAGAGACGTCTGTTCTTTGTTTTTCTCTAGAAAGCCAATTATTTAAAACATCTCTAAGCCTTTTAACTTCGAAGAATTGTAATTCTGTAATTTTTAATTGTATTTATAATTTAAAAAAAATTATCCTGTCTTTTTCGCGTTTCTTCTCAAGTACTGTTAACAATTGAGTCTCGGGGTGTCTAGTGGTCGGGGAAATCTGGAAAACCGGGAATTGTCAGGGAATTTTACGATTTATCTGGATTTTTTACATCGTTTCACTTTTTTTCTGAATAATTTAAAGTTTTTAGAAAATAAACTTTTCTTTGGCTCTCTCAGTACACTAATTTTCTGTTTTGCTAAACATCAATTTATTTACAAGCGTGGTCGGCAATTTATATTTTCATCGTCGTGTTATTTTATTTCAATCTGTTCAACTGAGGCAAAGCTATAAAAAAAGATGAATTACTAAACAGTACTATCTAAGTGGGTTACTATCTAGTAAGTTGCAAACAAAATGCAGTTAAGTAAAATAAAAGCATCGTGATTACGTACGGTATCACAAATGGTTTGTAACGATGTGTTCGTTCCTATTACACATTGTATTATACATAGATGGTATAATTGCTTTAATTTAAATTTTTATCTTTGTAAATTCCGGTCTTTTGTTTCCCGAGAAAAATATTACAAGGACTTGGTTATTTAACATTTACTCGATTTACCATACAGACGTACGCAATTTATGCGTCCTGAAAAAAGTTACACTAAACGGTCAGGGAAAAATTAATTCCGGCTCCTGGAAAAGCTGAAAAAGCCAGGGAATTTTTTTTCCATCGAGTTTACTGGACACCCCGAGTCTGTAACGTGCAAAAGTGAACGTTGATACATATTTTTATCGCAATCTCGCATCGCTCGGACACTTTTGCGTTCATAATTGGGATAAATACTAATCGTTGGAGCCATTATATCGTACGAATTGACGTAAGTTTTTTTTCGAACGCTACCGCTGGGCAGGATTTTCAGGCCTGCATTCTCGGTTTCGTTTTCGTTACGGGCGGGATCGGGAGGCGAGTGCACACGCACCACCCGATGCACGTAGGCACTCGTGGCGAGTTTAGGTTGTTCGTGCGTGAGTAGGGCGGCCGGGACCCGTTGGAGCCTGGCTGTGTGCACCTTTATGCGCGCGTGTGTGATGCGTGCACGTATGCACGATCGCCTAACGTCGAGGGGGGGGGAAGAGGGAGAAGAAGACGAAAGAGAGACGGGCGAGGAGAGGAGGGAGGATGCTTGTAACCTTGACCGTGGCCACCTTCTCAGGGCCACCGAGCGAGGAGGAGTCTGAACGCTCTAGCAGCTCCCAAGGCCAACGGCATGGAATCACGCCACCGTGATGCATTTAAAGAGGTAGAGAGCGGAT